TCGAAGGCTGTACAGGCGCCTTGCACATCCTTGCCCGGGACGTGCACAACCGCATTGTCATCCGAGGACTCAACACCATTCCGTTGTTCGTGCAGGTGTGTCGGGCTTGAGTGGGGTCTCCTGAGTTGACATGCTGAGGCTTGAGGAGGTGTGAAGCCGAAACAGGCAGTCCAACTTATGACAGAGTCCCTCATTGTTGGCCCGAGAGTCACTGGGGCTAGAGTCTCAGGAAGACTGGTGAGAGCACAGGCCCCAGCCAGCTCTTGCCTTTCTAAGTCTTCGGTTAAAATCTTGGCCCCTGAAGACAGCACGTGGCTGCAAGTGCTGCGGAGCACTGCCGCGGACATGGCCGAGGGGCGCTGTGCCGGCCTGCACGCTGCGCCTCATGGCGCTGCTCGTGTGGTTCCTCCCCAGCTGCTGTACTCTCCCATCGAGAACATCCAGAGAGTAGCTGCGGGGGTCCTCTGTGAGCTCGCTCAGGACAAGGAGGCTGCGGAGGCCATCGAGGCAGAGGGGGCCACTGCACCCCTGACAGAGCTGCTGCACTCGCGGAATGAGGGCGTGGGTGAGTGGGCGTAGCCGAGCGGGCTGTGGGATGGGCGCAGTCAGCCCCCGTGCTCACGGCCTCCTCCCGGCAGCCACCTACGCGGCGGCCGTGCTCTTCCGGATGTCCGAGGATAAGCCACAGGACTACAAGAAGCGGCTGTCCGTGGAGCTCACCAGCTCACTTTTCCGGACAGAGCCCATGGCCTGGAATGAGGTAGGCAGCCAGCAGGCCCCGAGGGGCGAGCAGGAGGGCGGCCTGTTAAGTAGTGAGTTGCTACTTTGCTTTAAAAACAGATCCAGCATTTTTCCACATATTTTTCTGTGTGGATTTCTGTTAGAATGGATTCTGAGATTGGTCCTCCATACAGGTATTTAGCTGGAATTAAAAAACGCTTCCGAGTTCCTTTTTTCTGCGGTTGAGTCACACAACTGCGGTGGGTGCTGACCTGGTAGAGCGCGGGGGTGAGCTTAGGGTATCGGAGGATGTGCTGGCTGGCTGGGGTGAGCGGCGCCAGGAGCTCGGCCTGCCTTGTACCCCATGCCTGCACGTGCGCCTCCTGCAGGTCTGTCTCTGCCTTAGCCAGGCGCTGCTGGCTCCTGTCCAGAGCCGTGCTCGGTGCAGAGTAGGTGCCCGGCCTCTTGTGTCGAGGGGAACCCAGTAACTGTTCTTAGCGCTGTGTGTGGGAGACATGTCGTCTTCAGAGGGTGGCTGGAAGGACTTGAATTTCCTAAGTGTCACATAGTGCTGGAGTTTCGGTCCCTTCTGCCCCCTTCTCCAAGGGGAGACTCACTGTGCCTTGTGTTCTTCCTTGTTCCTGTCTCCAGACTACTGACCTTGGACTTGACATCGGTGCCCAGGGAGAGCCCCTCGGGTATCGCCAGGACGGTACGTTCTCCCACTCCCAGCCAAGCCCCGGGAGGCTCGGCTCCTAAAGCTTTTGTAGCCTCTAAGGCGGAGCTGTTGCGCATCTGGGGAAGCAGGCTGCAGTCACACACTGGCAGTTCTGGAAGGCCAGAGCCAGCAGCAGGGTCCTTGGCACAGGGAGCTCCGAACCATGTGAGCAGCGGCAGTCACACCGCACATCCCAGTGTGCCTGGCTGCTTGCTTCCCTTTGGTCAGATCCCGCGGCATGCGCCCCAGAAATGCCTGGCTGCGAGCTCAGCAGGCCGGTGCTCACCTGGCTGCGATGACTGGGGTTTTCTGAAAAGCAGAGCTAGGTCTACGCAGTGAAGGTGAAGCTGCTCCCAGCAGCAGCGTCACCCTGAGAGCACTCCTGTGCAAGTGTTCCGGAGGCCGTCCTGGCATCCATGGTGCTGCTGGCCTGGGCTTTTCCCTGCCAGACTGCACCCCATCCATACCGACTTCTGCAGCCCGGGTTGGTCTCAGGGCCCTGCTGCTCACGTTGGGTGGCCTGGCACTGAGTCACTCCTTGGCTGAGGCAGGCCGGAAGCAGAAAGGCGCTGGGGGCAGAGCTGCCTGCCCTTGGGAGGGAGGCCCAGCCTTCACGCTGACCCGCCTCTGCCTTCCAGACCCCAGCTACCGCTCTTTCCACTCCGGCGGCTACGGCCAGGACGCCTTGGGCATGGACCCCATGATGGAGCACGAGATGGGGGGCCACCACCCAGGTGCCGACTACCCGGTGGATGGGCTGCCAGACCTGGGACACGCCCAGGACCTCATGGATGGGCTGCCGCCAGGTGACAGCAATCAGCTGGCCTGGTTCGATACTGACCTGTAACCTCCTTTAGGTAAGAAGCTTAAAAAAGCCAGTTGGGTAAAAACTTTTACTCTGCCTACAGAACTTGAGCGTGACTTGGTTGTAGGGTGGGAGCGGCTTGGGCCTATCTGTAAATCTGCTACAAGAACAGATCTCTACTTTGAAAGGAGATGTCTTGGGACATTCAGATGTTCTTGGATTTCTGGTTGTTCTGTGATCGTGTGCTTGGAAGTTGTTAACGTTCATGTCTTTATGCCACAGCTTTGCAGCTTGTACTCCGGTGAGTCCATGTGCTGTTTAACACTAGAGCAGCCTCTGTGCAGCTGCGCTGTCTGGAGTCGGTTGGGATTGGCCTGTAGCGTTGCGGAGGGCTCGAGGGTGGGCTGGTATCTCAGAAAGTGCCTGACACTAACCACGCGGAGTTTCCTATGGGAACACTTGAAGTAAACTTTTTGTTCTGGTCCTTTTCGGTCGAGGAGTAACAATACAAGTGGATTTGGGGAGTGACTGGAGAAGTGAAGCGTGCACAAGGAGTGGATCACAGATGGAATTTATGAAACCCTAGCCTTGCTTGATACGAGTTTTTTTTTTAAATATCTGTAATGGTACTGACTGCTTGCTTTGGAGTAGCTCTTTAAGTTTCCCCCTTTTTTTGCAGTAACTGTTAGTTTTTTAAGTCTTGTAGTGTTATGTTATAGTGAATTCTGCTGCAGCAATTTCTAATTTTTAAGAATCGAGTAATGGTGTAGAACACTAATCCATAATCACTCTATTGTAATCTGAAAAAAGTGTAACATTGTGTAGCCTTTTTGTATAAAATAGACAAATAGAAATGGTCCAATTAGTTTCCTTTTTAATATGCTTAAAATAAGCAGGTGACTCATGTTTTTGATCAAAAACTTTATTTGGGCTATGTATGGGTAGGGTAACTCAGTAAGAGGTGTTATTTGGAACCTTGTTGGACAGCTTACCAGTTGCCCTTACCCCAGAGGCGTCATAGTCTGCTGTGATACGACGCCCAAGAGAAACCACGGTTATAAAAACGATCCAGAATTAAACTTCTAATTCATTCACCTGCGTCACCTGTTCCTTCTTGGTCCCATGTGTCCGGCGCGTCCTTGTCCTGCGAGATGACACAAGCAGGACAGCTCACATGGCAGGGAGCAAGGTGGCCTTGTGTGACTGCCTGGAGCGGAGGGGACCCTGCCCATGCTGGCTCTGCCCGGCACCCGTGTCTGGGCAGAAGGCGGCTCCTCCAGGGCTCCACCAGGCAGGGCGGCAGCCACAGCCCTGCCATCCTGGTGCTGGGGCAGGCGTCCCTGCTCGGGGCAGGCTAGCCTCTTCAGACTCGCACCTTACGCTCCAGTGTGTCATGGGGACTGCTTTCTGATCTGGACGAGACCTGGACAAGCGCACACCCGCATCTGGGCCTTGGCAAACGCCTACAGTCCCTGAGGCTAGAGCAACCAGACTGGAAGCACTGTGTATGTGCAGCAGGACCAGTGGAGCCACCAGGGCTCGGGCGGGAAGGGTGACCTGCAGGGCTCTGAGCTGTACCCCACACCATCCAGCAGGGCTGTTCAGCCATTTCCACAGTGTGAGCACATGTGGCGCCCGCGGCTTTGTCCATGAGGCTGAGGGCAGCACTGTCCTGGGCGCGGGGACAGAAGTTCAGGTAACTGGACCAGCCCAGAACGGCTGCTCAGAGATGCGGAGAGGTAGCTGGGGCTGGAAGACACATGGCTTTCTGGGTCCAGCTGCGGAACTCCAGGTGGCCATTTGAGTAAACAAGCTAGGACAGAACATCCGTGACCCTGAGCTTGGCCTCGGCCTGCAGTGTGGCAGTTGCGGCAGGGCGACAGCCCCACAGACGCTGCAGGTGTGCGGCCCAATCTCCGCACAAGGCCTGCCTGCAGTAGCTGCGTGGTGGCCTTGATGACAGAGTCTCTGGAAGTGGGGTAGCGTGCGCTTGGCTGAGGACAGTGAGGGACGCTGAGGAGAAGGGCAGATGGTGGGAGGGCTTCCTGGCCCCGCACGCCTGGCTCAGATGCTCAGGACCATGCCTGGGCACTGCCTGCTGTCGGGCTAAGGTGTGACATCTTGCCAGGCAGTGGTGGTCTGATAGGTCCCACCAGGCACGGCTGCCGCCTCCTGTTCAGGTGACAGAAGCGAGCAGGTCGGCTGCACTGGGGACTCAGTGGCTTCAGCAGCTGTTCTCGGCACAACCCCATCTTCCCTGGTGTGGGGGCCAGTGGACGCTTGGCTGGTGCTGACGGCTCCACAAAGGATGAGCTGAATCTGCATGGACAGCAGAGGTCGCCAGGTGTCCACAGACCCCAGCTGCCTGAGGCCAGGTGGCGCTAGTGCCTGCACTGGCGCTGCTGGGCACATCACGTCCACCCGTGCAGACGACGCAGCCCCATAGGCACCTGTTTCCTGTCTTCTGTCCACTGCAGCGCAAGCATAACTAGAGGCGGCAGAGCTCGCCAGGCCACTGGAGCTTGAAGCCAAGGCTGCGCAGGGAGGTCGGGCTGGCCCAGGCTCTGCATGGTTTCCCACTGCCCGGCCACCCTGCGCCCTACCTCGCCCTCCTCACCCCAGGCCAAGTCCCTTTCTGAGCTGCTCCTGCTCCTGGGCCAGGAGACCCAGTTCCCTGACCCTTCACTGCACGCACATGAGTAGTGACCACCGCAGCGTCCACTGGTGAGCCACTTCCATGGCAGCACAGCACTGCGACGCTGGGGGAGGGGGCCTTCCTCAGGAGCTGACTGACCAAGTGGTGGTGGGCAGGGACGCTCTGGGAACGGAGACCTGCTCCTGGGGCCACGTGGGCACCTGGCGGTAGCAGCCACAGGTCGACACCACCCCATCTGCTCTACCAGGTGGGGCCTCCTGGGTGGCGCATGGTGGCTAGTGCTGTCCACGTGGGGCGGGCAAGGATCGTGCTGCTCCAGGGAACCTCAGCCGTGCTGGATGGCAAGGACTCCGGGGACAGCGACTCCGGGGACAGGGAGATCCTCAGCCCATGCACCTGCCGTGCCCACTCTGCGAGTGATCGAGTCCTCCTGTGGGGACCGCGTCGGTGCCATCCTGCCCCACTGGCCAGATCCCAAGCAGCCCAGCGTCCCATGCTCCTGCAGCACCTCAAGCATCCAGGCAGGGAAGCACTTAGCTGTCTCGAGGGTCGGGGCTGTGTTCAGGATGGGAAATGGTCAGGCTGGTGAGGTGGGCAGCAGGTGCAGGCTTCCCCAGGGCAGCAGCCCACAGGGCCTGGCCTCCAAAGGAAGCCCTTTTTACCCTGACTAGCAAGCCTGGCCTTCTAGCAGAGGCCCAGTGAGAGAACACTATCCTCCATGGTTGTCCCAACTTTATTATGTCCAGTCTCGCCGCAGAGTGGTGGTGGGAGCAGCATGTGGCTGCGGGTGGGGCTCAGCGGAACTCCCTAGGTGCCTTCCTGCCGGGAGCCAAGGGTGTGGAGGATGTCCAGGGCCAGGGAAGCCACGGGTGTGTTGTCAGGTGCGCTGTGAGAGAGACCAGGGACACTTGGTGACCTGCTCCACCCGACACACACCAGGGGGCTGGGCTGGGCCGGGCGGGAGGCGAGGGCTGTCCTGCATCTGCGCCGGTGGCCGTCGCATCCCTGTGCCCAGAGCCTGCACAGCCCCTGAGCCGCCTGGAGCTGTGCGAGTCTCCCAGGCCCCCTCACCCCAGCCTGGGTCCTTGCTCCTAGCAGTGAGCCTGTGAGCAGCGCTCCCACCACAGTGAACTGGAGGTGTGACCAATGCTGTTGCCAAGTGGCAAAGAATGGCTTCCACCAAAAGCCAGGCCATACTGCGAAGGGCAGGAACTTGGGTCCTCTGCCTGCTGGGGTGCAGGGCCCCCTCGCTCTTGGAAGCACTTTCTGCGGGGCCCAGCATTGCCCTAGTGCCCGAGTCCAGGAAGTGAGCACACACGGGGACGGTGCTGGAGGCTCACTGAGGCTCCCTGGAGCCCCACGGTTGGGTCCAGCGCGGCTGCCCAGCCAGAGGACCCGAACACCCACGGCACCTGCCCGCACTTCCCTTCGACAAAGCCCAGCAGCTGGGGCTCCCGCATCTCCCCCCCACCCCCCAGTCCGCTGTGCGCTGGGTGCCCGGGCGGAGTCCCAGCCGGCTGTGTACACCACCCAGTCATCCTCTGCATGCCCTCCAGGTGCCCTGAGGAAGTGTCCTGCCTCGCGGGCAAGCAGCCTAGCAGAAGGTCCGGAGCAGTGGGTGGGGGAGGCCTGCCAGCCCTGTCAGTGGCCGTGCTCAGGCCCCATGGACCACACCCCGCACGCCCTATGTTCCCCACCTGGCCCACCTACCCCTCAGCCCGGGCCAGCTGCTCCAGCACCCTCTGAAGGCCGCCCGCCTGCTCGAGGCGGGCCCGGTGCTGTTCACTGGAGGTGACCTGTAGGGACAGAAGAGGGACAGTGATCACTGGAGGTGACCCGTAGAGATGGGAGGAGGGTAGGGGACAGCAGTCACTGAGTCCCCCCCTGGGTACTCGGAGCGCAGCACAGGCCTGCACCGGGGCACAGGGTTCAGCTATGGCAAGAAGTCATACTCAGGGCCAGCCAAATAGCTCAGTGGATTAAAGCACCTACAAGCAAGCCAAGGGGATGGGGTTCGATTCCCAGGCCTGCTGTGCTGCCCCCACCCCCACCTGGGGCGCGCTGAGACGGCAGTTGAGACTGGGCGCTGTAATCCCAGCACTTGGGAGGCTGTAAACAAGCAGATCATGAAGGGTCTGATCTAATAATGAGACCTGAACACCCTTGTAGACCCTCCCCTAAAAATAAAAAAAAAAA